AAGGGGGTGGTGGGCAGTGTGGGGAACGGGACGGAGTGGACTGTAGCTACACAAGTCCTGCAGTGTGGGGAAGGGGTTAACCCAAAGCCCAGGAGGCCTCAGAGGAGCTCAGCCCAGAGCAGACAGGAGGTTTGCTCTCAGCTGGCAGCAATGTGGGTGAAGTTGTGTTCAAGGAGGTTCATAAGTGTGAAGCAATCCTTTGGGCAAAGGGCACAATGTGATAGACACCAGGGGTGCAGTCACAGCCGTAGGAGTCCGGGGGTCTGGAGGTGTTTTGTGGAAGGGAGTGAAACAAAAGCTGGCAAAACATAGTACTGACATATCACAACAGGACAGTTTGAAGTGATTGTTTTCCCATTAACACCAACACCTAATCAATGGTTCCTGAAAGAGAAAAGACCCTACACAGTGTCCTGGTTTTAACTGGGAAACTTTATTTTCTTCCCTGTAACATGTACAGAACTGTACTTGGGGTTTAGTAGGACAGTAATGTTGACAATATGGATTTTTCAGTTGCTCATGCTCTGCACGCAAGGAGGTGTTTACAAAACTGGGAGGGACCATGGCCAACACAGCTGACCTCAAGTAGCCAGAGGGATATTCTGTGCTGTAGACCATCACACTCAGATGATAAAAGGGGAAGAGTTGGACAAACGGGGCAGATCACAGATCAGGGACACATCTGTACGTGGGTTAGGAAGTGTTGAGCAATTCCATTGTGCATCCCTCATCCTTCTTGTTTTTTCTTTTTCTCTCTTTTCATTACTATAATTCTAGTAGTAGTATTACACCTACTCTATTTTATATTATTTCAATTATTAAACTGTTCTTCTCTCAACCCAAAAGTTTCATCTGCTTTCTCTTTCTGATTCTCCTGCCCATCCCACCTGGGTGGAGTGGGAGCAGTGAGCAAGCAGCTGCCTGGTGCTTAGTTGCCACCTGGGGTTGAACCATGCCATGCTGCCAAGCAGACACTGGTGCAAACACCCCAGCTGCCCTCCTGCTCCCAGCTTCCCTGCTTATCACCCATGTCCCTGACAGGCCTCTCCCTGTCCCAGCAAACACCTCCATGGCAAGTGAAACACCTATTACCTGTTTTCTTCTCTCCAAGCTGACTGAAAAATACGGGGACATCTTCAGCTTACAGGTGGGCAGCTTATCCTTTGTGTTCATAAGTGGGCTGCGCATGGTCAAGGAAGTTCTTGTAAACCAAGGAGAAAATTTCATGGATCGCCCTGAAATTCCTATCCACAAGTTGCTTTTCAGCAAATGGCAAGTGAAACACCTATTACCTGTTTTCTTCTCTCCAAGCTGACTGAAAAATACGGGGACATCTTCAGCTTACAGGTGGGCAGCTTATCCTTTGTGTTCATAAGTGGGCTGCGCATGGTCAAGGAAGTTCTTGTAAACCAAGGAGAAAATTTCATGGATCGCCCTGAAATTCCTATCCACAAGTTGCTTTTCAGCAATATGGGTGAGTCCTCCCTCAGGACACATTTCTCAGCTCTAAGGTCAAAATATTGACCCTGCAGAGCTCTGAGACAGCTGGGGATAAGGCAGAGCCCTGGAGCTCTTTCCCCTCCGAGGAGGGATCTGCCTTGGCTCAGATGGGGTATTTCTGACAGGACTTGTCATCTCCAACGGGCACTTGTGGAAGCAACAGAGGAGGTTCACCTTGACCACCCTCCGAAACTTTGGCCTGGGGAAGAGGGGCCTGGAGGAACGCATCCAGGAGGAGTGCCGATGCCTCGTGGAGGTGTTTGGGGATGAGCAGGGTGAGTGCCACCACCCTCTGAAGCTGTGCTGTAGGCAGGAACCAGTATGGCCCATCATAATTTCACCCATGATTCAGTGCATGCTGGAAAATACCTCACCTTGAAAGCAATGCAAGTACCCTGCCAGCATCCCACCTGCCTTTTACAGCTGTTCTACCTTCATACAGACCAATGCGTGCAGCTAGGTAACCCCCTAAGCATTAGTCCTAGACCACCTGCAGCCTGCTGCTCTCACAGGGATCTCTGGAAACTCGCATGTGTGGTATAGGTCCATATTTCCATTGAATTCACATGACATCTTCTCTACACACATTGTTATCCAAAGTAAACACTGCCACAATCTTATTGAATGGGGACTGCTGGGGCTGCCCAGCCAAGCTTGGCCAGCTTATGGGGTCAGCAAGGCATCCCAGGACAGCAGTGACACAGCAGGGTGACCATCAGGGGCCACTCATTTCACCTGGATTTGCTGAATATTTTCCCTCTGACTGCTGTGTTTTCTTCTCCTTTTCCATGAAGTATGGAAGGAAATTGATCTTGTTTTATTTCCTTCTCCAGGGAATCCTTTCAACCCTCAGCTGAAAATCAATAATGCTGTTTTAAAAATCATTTGCTCTGTCATCTTTGGCAATCAGTTTGATTACCAAGATGAAGAATTTCAGAAATTGCTGCACCTGATGGATGAAACAATTAAGCTTCACGGGACAATCATGAGCCAGGTATAGCCCTCCTGCTACAAATTTGGACGGTGTGTGGGGCCATAGTTCCTTCTCTGGAGCCCACCTTGAAACTTGTATCACTTCAATCAAAAAGATTTGACATTCCCTCTCCCTTTGCAGAGGCTGGGTTTGGCCATGATTCCTTTCTGCCTTAGTTTCACACTGTGCAATGCTCACGTTGATCTCTCACCCAACATCACCTCCCCCTGTCCAGAGACTGCCACCCTGCCTGCTGCAACACAGATCAATGCAGGAGTCACTTGCTAATAGGGAGACCAATCTGTGAGAATGCTCTTCTGGGGCAGAGACATTTCCACCACCTTCAGCATTTTGTAACCATGGCATTGCAGGCTTCTCAGTTTTAGTAACACAAAGGTCTTTTTCAATCCTTTGTTCTACTTGCCTTTCTCCTTTTCTCTCCAAAGCTGTACAATGCTTACCCATTTATAATGAAGTTTTTGCCTGGCTCACACCAAACCATCTTTAAAAATGGAAGGTGGCTGAGAAGTTTTGTGAAAGAGAAGATTGACAAACACAAGGAGGACTGGAACCCCTCGGAGAGCCGGGACTTCATTGACAGCTACCTGCAGGAGATAGCCAAGGTCAGCAACAAACATCAAAACCTCTTGCAGTGAGGCTTAGACATCTGGAGCATGTATTAACACAGGGTGCCCATCAGGTTCAGTGCAGCCATCAGAAGGATGGAGGTGCAGGGGGCCAGCAGCTTTTTCCCAAATCCTTGGAATTCACCTGGAATAAACTTTGTATCAGGCAAGGGTTTGCAGTTTGTGCAGCACTAACACTTGGCACCTTTCTGTGAAGGACACCAGCGACAGCAGCTTCCAGGAGGAAAACCTCGTGGCCTGTGTGCTCGACCTGCTGTTTGCTGGGACCGAGACCACTTCCACCACCCTCCGCTGGGCTCTGCTGTACATGGCCCTGCATCCAGAAATTCAAGGTACAATCAGCAGAAGTTCAGTTGTTCTCTTTGCTTTTAGTCCTTACAGCTTTGAGAAATAACCTGCAGCAGTCACACAGGGGAAGTTGCAAAGAAGCTGGTGACCCAGGTCGGTGCTGGGGGGACCCTCCCAGCAACCACCTTGTGTTGCTCCAAGAGGATGATTTTCTGGGGGCTTGGCTGATCCCTGCTCTCCCCTCCAGCCCGCGTGCAAGCCGAGATCGACGCCGTCATCGGGCAGGTGCGGCCGGCACC